ACACGTGTGTGTTTGTTTTGGCAGAATTTCGAATGGGGCACCCGTAGGTTTCTGCCATGCCCCGGGGGTGGGGGATGGCAGCACTTGCTCTCCGGTCACCGCGACTTGTCCGGAGAAAAATGCCGCCCGGTGGCCGAGGATCGAACCGCGACCGGCTGCGTCGCAGCGGAAGAGTCAGACCACTCGGTCACCTCGTCCCCCTGTAACCAGTTCATCGTAGCTGTTAAGGTTGAAAAATAATAATAACCGTATTACACGTTTATGCGGTTGATTATAATATAGGTACTAGCTAGGATGTGACCGAATGGTTCCGAGAACTGTATCACAGTTCCGAATACACACAATCACTTTTTTTTTATCAATTCCTATCCGGTAATACCATATCATCGTCCATTGATCTTTTATAATTCTTAGTATATCAGTCAAACAAAATACTTTATCACTTTAAACTTGGAACTGACAATTTTATTTCTGGGTACGACTGATGCCAATAATGACGTAAAAAAATTTATAAATACATGTATACACAATGATAATTACTATACGAAAATTAATATGTCCTTGATAACTGATATAATAGTATAATTTACATCATAAATGTATATAATTTAACCTAATATACTGACTAGTGACTACCGTAATGTAATGCACTGACGTGTCTGTGAACACACATACCTACCTACATTAACACATGGTGATGGTAATACAGATGAAAATTAATGCTATTGGTTAAACTTCTAATAGTTATGATACGTGTATAATAATAACTAGAACTCGGAAGTTGATGTCCTAAAAACATCAATTAATGACACATGAAAAATATGCAAGTTCTAAGCATTTAAAAAAATTTCATCGTAAAAATTTAAAAGCCATAAAAAATGTAAAGATGAATAGTATTTTTTCTAATTAATTTGAAGTGTTTATATTTAATAGTAAAAACTACTGAAATTCCATTTTTAAGAAAAGTTTATTAACATTTATTTATTATGATTAAAAAATTCAAATTTTCTGTCAAATGAATACATTTAAGATTTAAATTAAATTAAATTAATTTTAATTATTAAGTTAATTATTAATAATTATAAAGTTCGAAATGAATAATAAAATTTATAGATGGATTAAGAATTAATTAAAATTACAAACAACGACATTTAAAGGTCGGAAAATTCAGAGTAAAAATTAATTATGGAAACATTTTTAACTAGGAAAGCAACGTCAAAGACATTCTAAAAAAAAATAAACAAGTCAATAGTTTCCTAATTTGATAATAATATAGATCTACATTCAATATTTAATGAACAATAAGTATTTTTACATCTCTACATCTCGAAAAGTACTACTGTTTTTAAATATATTGTTTTATTTAATTTTAAGTGATTACAAAACCACTTTTTTGAATTTTTTTATTTTTTACGAACCAGTACTAATTTAGATAAACGGAGTGGAGTAGTGCCCCGCTTATAAACTGTTAAAGTACGAGATCGAAAATATGCATATTCCTATTAAAAAAAGTAAAAATTAAAAAAATTATAACAATATAGTACCAATAATAGCATAAATATTTTTTTCTTTCAAAAACGTTAATACTTTTTTTATAATTGTTGAGCGTTTTGCGCTTAAAGAATCCTCGTCTCTAAATATCTATATAGCCACCTCTACATTATTTTATATTTTATGTTATTTAATATTTGGTATATAGAGAAATCAACTTAACACAATATTAAAGGGTTGATCTAGGAAGCATAATCGAGTGTTATGAAACATTATGATTTATGTTTGCCTACCTAGTACATACCAAAAACTGGTATTCTTTACTGTTCTTTACTACTCTAAGCTGTACTCCTTTAAAAAACGTATTTATTACCAACAACCTAATATAACTATTTATAATAATAGAACTATTTATTAATTGGTTATTTTTCTTGTGATTTTCGTTAAAAAACAGTGACGTTATTAGAATTAATATTATTGTATGCTTATTCGTGAAAACCAACAGTTCTAAGCACATATTTTCGTAGGTTAGGTTAGAATTATTATAGTGAAGATGGGGAATCGGGCCGATCGATTATAATAAATTTTTTTTTTCAAAATACCACTCCTGCAATACAAGCTCACACAGTTTTCATCAGTATGAGACAAACACGAAACAATGGTTCATCAGGGCGATGATGACGATGGAAAAGAGGCGGAAAAAATAAAACCAAAAATCTCAAGTGGCCGAGGGCCACGTGTTTATTGTCGAAAATCCATGACGTCAAGCGTTGTCTTATAATACGAATATATAATATATGCTTGACTGCAATATACGCACGATGGGTTTTCTGCGACAATATCTTTCGTTTTGTCAGTACTCCAATGTCGATTACGGCGGCAGCGCATCGCACAAGTGAAATATTTTTCTCCGTGTGCTATTTATACTGGGCACAACGAGCTCTTTCTATATAATAATGTACGATCTTAACCTATCCCCGACCGCGCGCGGGCGGTCGTAGTTTTACCGCACTCGATACACTATTTGAAAACATGGCCCGAAGCCAACGTATATATTATCATGGGAGGCAGGCGCTAAATACGAGCATAGGTGAAAATAAACGGGGGGTTAGGGCATTTTTATTTCCCCCCAACGAATTTAAAACCCCATCGATAATGTTTCGGAATGAAATTAAATTATGAACTCACAAATGGAGGCGGATAAAAAATTATTACAGAGGAGTTTCTTCAAAAGCAATTGAATATAATAAATAAAAATGTATTACCCGTTGGTTATTGTGGTTCCCATGAAATGAATATGTTCCCATAATAGCATACTAATAGTAATCTATACGAGGATCTGGAATATGTTTACAATAAAATAATAGTAATAATTTGCTTATTACTTGCCATACGGATTTCTGCAAATTCAGTAAAGAACTACACAGTGGTAAAGTGATCCTACATTACCAGTAAGACCTGTACATTAACAGAAAAAAAGGAAAACCTATACAGAATCGTCGAACCAGAAAATAAGAATACCGAATGTGTGCTACTTGTTGGAAGTGGCATCACATTTGCTAAAATTTGGAGAAGATTGCTTACAATATATATCAGTCGAAGTTATGATTTCGTGGTTGCATAATATGGACCATGTTTATCATCTTTATTCGATTATATTGACTGTTTTTGGGCAATTTTTTTTATTTAATTCACGCCCTCATGGATTTCCCTCTTCAACTGGTTTTCTTACAGTAAGTAACAGTAATATTAATTTATTTTTTACCTATTCTTCGATAGTAAATAATGATTTCATATTTGTTTCGACAGATTATGAAGTGTTTGGTTGATTAGAATAAATTATTATAATTAATAATAATACACTGTGGTTTAAATTAATCTTAAATTAACAAACAATTTGCTCGTCTGTTTAAAAACGATGATATTATTACAAGTATTCCAACATACGGTAGGTACAAAGGTGTTTTGGCATATAGCGCCCAGGAAGTAAATAATGTATTTTTACGGTATAAACTATTGAAATAATAAAAATAAAAGACCACTGGGAAATATTCAAACGTTAACCTATATTTCAACAAATAATTATGAATAATATTTTTAGCTCTGTTATATTTTTAGTTTGCAATGTATTTTTCTTTTTAATTGGACGTAACGTTACGGTACCACTAATAAAATGCCAAATAAATTATATTATTCAATAATACGTTTAAGTAGGTTCATTATTTTAGTATGTGAAAATAATTCAAATCACTTATTTTTTAAAGGCAATAAACGTTTTCTTTTATATGGCAATCAAGTGATGGTTTCGTGTTATTCAATATAATATTTTCACTTTTACCAGATATTGTATATTAAAAGGATGATATTTTAATAAATACCCAACTATTTAATTTAATTAATATTGAAATACTCGTACCCAAAACATATTTTGTCACGCGTCGTACAGTCACACATTTAATTGCACACTTTTTAAACTTATAAGTTATAACCGATATATTGTATTTAAATAATACATTTAGATATAATTTAATTTATCATATATTATTAGTTATTATTTATTATCCCTACTACGATGTGAATTTTACATCAGTATGAGGTTTTTTTGAGGGGAGATACATAAATAGTACCGACGTAGAAAATGTATGATTTTTTTAAATATATTTTGTACGTAAACACATTTGCTGTGCTTCACCAATATCAAGTCAAATAACCAATTTAGGGAGACTGAAGTAAACCCACAGTAGTTGTTATCGATATATTACTATAGGTTTGGTGTCGATAGACTATAGACTAAAATAAATTAAAAATCACTGTATTACCCTTGATATTTTCAATGGTGATCCTGTATTTTTTCCACCAGTCATTCTGAATCCCCACGGCGGTCCTTCGTTCAAAACTATCACTTTATCTGGCATCCTGTAACATTACGTTTCCATATATAAATATATGAACATAACATTGTTTTATTTAATGCATGTAATGATGCTATTAAACTAATACAAGCAAACGTACAGTGAAAAATATGCAGTTGATTAAATGTTGGTGTACATTCATCATTAATACAAGGCATTAATTAGTATAAATAATTAATTAATACAAATAATTAATTAATAATAACATAATATGTTGCCCATAAATGTAAGTGTACCTATAATATTTTATCATCATAACATAGTATCATATATTCTTATAAATCATTTCAAGTTGATTTATTTCTAAATTTTTAGTTCACCTATATCATTCAGTCAAAAGTTAGATAGTTAAGGTTGAAAGTTAAAGGTAGGTATATCATTTAGATAAACCTTGTTAGTGGACAATTTAAAAACCACTTCGTACGTAGTTAATTCTGTAGTTACTATAACGAGTAAATACATATAATGTATAAATAGAATACAGTCATACAGATAACTTTACTTAAAAAAAAAAAAATAGTGATCTAGTCTATTTCTCTAATAGTTATGAAAATCATATAATAATCAAACATCATTTTTCATTAAAAAAAATCCCAAAATACATTTTTATAATAAATTATACACTTATATTAAACCTATAATTTACCTATAGTTATGTTGTTTTCCAAGACTTCAATAGATTTCAAGAGTCATAATCAACATAACAACAGATATCACACTGACATGGGTAGTATAATATTATAATCTGCCCAAATAAACGCAATTGAAGTGTCTGTATATTTGTTCACGCTAATCTTCGAAACATCTATACTGATTTTGACGGAATTTCCACAGGCAGGTGCTAGACTTAGCAAGGAGTGATCCCAGCTACTTTTTATTTCAGAAATATTTATGTTTACCACTTAAAAATTGAAAACCTGAAAGAGGCATCATTTTAATAGTAATTGTCATTAATTATAAATTGGTAATTTTTCCAAGGGTTGTTTCCAGTATCACTTGGATAAATCTCCAAGAGGGCTTTATTTAATTTTTTAGGCCAAACCATGGAGCAGGTTTTATGCATAATTGTATAAAGTCAACTCCCAACCCCGGAAAATTGAGCGAGAAAATAAGAATACCCTCTGGCGCCATCTATCCGGTTTTCACAGCGACTTTTTTAAAAAATTTTCCCCGAATAACTCATTTGACAATGTTAAAATCTGTGTGTATACATTTATTGTTTAATTTCTTGATGGAGGTATACTTAAACTGGCTAATCAGTAATCTGATTTGCTCACAAATTATTTCTTATTTTAAACCAAAATTCAACGAACGGCTATCACCGTATTTTATAGTTTATTATTTTTTCCCCGGCGAAGTCAAAGTAATAGACCAATAATAGGAATAGTTAACAATAAAATATTAATAACTAATAATCGAAAATAGTTTTTATATGTGGAAAGGGTTTGTGGCTATACTTTAAATTTTAAAGGGGTACGTGGACATATATTAATATAGTCAAGTGAACAATTATTGTTTGACCCCCTCCCTCGTTTCATAATCCCTGCTACTCCACTACAAGTGTTGTATTGAAATGCATACATTCCTATCCATTTTACATTTTTTTAAATGTTAAGTTTAATTAGTCTATCATCAAAGTAAATTATATTGATCATTAATTAGTTATATTACATTCGATATTTTGTCATATAAAAAAAAGCTCAAAAATATAATAGGAAGTGTCTAAGCAAGAATACAAAAATAAATTTGTATATAAAATATTAAAGTAGTACCTACATAATTATTGATTAATATTTTTTCTCTTAATTTTTATTTACATAGTCTATTGTAATATTATCAGTTTATAATACGAAGATCCTTTAAATTAGATTAAAATATATAGTATTAAACACTATAAACAAATATTAATAGGTAGTATGAAAGAAAATATTAGTATGTGTTAGTGTCCACTGTTCAGTGTGTACTTGTAAATGTGTTGCACAACAAGATAGATACAATTTTATTTATGATGAAAAGTATTTAATATATTTAAAAGTAATTCATTATTTTACCTACCTATTTGTTTTTATTATTTTTTAGTTTTCCTTGAATATTATTATTTTTCATATTTTACTATGTGTTTAATTTGGCAAATCCGCAAGTATCGCAATATTTAGTTAAAAGATATTAGATATTTTACGATTAAAATTATATAACTCATAGAAATTTCAGATAAATAATTATTTATACTAACCAACCTACTTAATTAGTATATTTCGAAGGCTGACAACTGTTTTTTACCACTACAATTTGAGTGGAGATTAACCGATTTTGAATTTGTAGCACAAATTAGATGCAGTTACATTGAAAATAATAAATTATAAAAGTTACACAAATTAAGATGTACGAAACCATTGTACTCATATTGCGTATTTAGGTAAAACGATATACCTATAATACTGTTAAAATAATTTAAATTATTATTTTTTTTTAATATAGTATTTCATATTTATTTTATGTTTAAGAACACAAATATTTTGCTAAATTTATAAAAAAATGTCATGAATGTTTTATTAAATTTAAAGAATTATTAAACATAATTTATCTTAATAGGTGTTTTGGTAAATGGGAATCTTTCATTGACATTGCAGTGATAATACAATAAACATGTATCTTTTATAAGATATTAATATATTTTTGTAATATTATTATAGTTTTAAGGCATTTGATCCAAGTATGGTCATGTGGAACTAAAAAAAAGAATTCTGTTTGAAAGTTTAATATTCAAAACAATGTGACCTTTGAAAATAGTATCACTGACCTTTACCAATAGAGTCCCCAGATACGAGACATTATGTTTCCATTAAAATCACCAAGACTTAAGTTGATATATGTATAAACTATTAACAGTACCTATATAAAGTATAACACATTTAAAACGATCTAGACGATTCTTTTATCCATTATAAATAAGAAAAGTTGATTTAGGTAATGCAGATTCCATTAAAAAAAGAATAGTCAAATAGATATCAAAATTAATAAACAATAGTAACAACTGTTTAATGTTGCATAACACATTATTGGTTAAATCGTAATTTATGTTAATAATTAATTTGTTAATAAAAAAAAAATACATTGGCAAAATTAACACACAATTTTAATTATAATCTTAAAATGTACATTTTTTCATAAGTTTGTATGTAATATGTGTGCTGTTGCCACTTTTGTATTATTTCAAATGGTTAAAATATATTTTATACGATTAAACATTTACCATAAATATGGATCAAATGATAAGACCTAAAAATATGTATGAGTTAACTTTAAATGGATCATATTTAAATATGTTTAATAATTCTGAAAAAAATTATATTATTTTCTTCCTAAATTTAAAATTGTCCTAGTTTTTAATAAAATTGAAACTTGTGTTGTATTAAGATATGGACAAATTAATTCGTATATTTACTATTTATAAATTCATTAAAGATTCTATTAATATTTAATTACGAGTGATAATAATTACTAACTTCTTTAATTTGGGTTTTTAATATTCCTTGTTATTCTTCTTATAATAGTAACACAATTGATTTTTTGAAAAGTTAAAAGTTAAATGTATAGTTAATAGTTAATTTTTATCGATCATATTAAATATTATTATTCACAACACTCGTCATTAGAGCATAAATATTATTATTGACATTTGTATAAAATTAAACCAAAATATTATATTTTGAAGCCTACGCCCGAGTCGTTTAGACGTTTAGTATTTGAACTTTGAAGTATATAACCATAAGTGATACGTGAGTTTTATTTCAGAGCCTTTTTTATTAAACTATTATTGTCTTATATTTATAGGTTTGTACATTATTTTAGAATAGTATGTAATAGATACCTACTAGAATATTTTCATATTGTTAAAATAATATGTTTGATATTATACGACGCTACCTACCTATATTACTAAATGATAAATAAATCAAGTCTTCTTCATTTTCATTTATGAAAATCATTAAATTTTTAATTTCGTTACTTTAATCTACTACAACTAATTTAATTAATCTCAGGATGTACTACTTCAGATATCTGAGCTTAGGGCTTTTATCCCGAGAATAGAAAACCATGATAGACTATTACAAAACAAATAAATTGAACATTAATTTAAAATATTTACACTAAAAAACAAAATGACTAATTTTCAATAATTTTATAAAAATGATAACTTTTAGTTAAAAGTGAGTTCAAACTTCAAATACATTTAATATTACATTTTTTAGCTTTTCAGTACTTTTGTTCATAGTTTTTAATTTATCACTTTACTAACAATCATTGAAGTACAAAATGTGTTCTTTAAATAAATTACACATGTAATACGTATACGTCTTACTTCTCACATTATTTACTAATTAAGTAATACAAATGTACCCTCTAAAAAATGTTTAGTTTTGGTATTTTTTTTATTCATAAGTGATAGCTACTTAAACATTTATTTGGATTGATTTGTTTCCCTTTATAATGACATATTGACGTACATATACACAAAAATAATCATCGATATAGGTATTTGGAATTTTTGTTGCATGATAAAACTGATTAGAATATTTCAATTTAGTTTTATATAATTATTAATTATATCTACAACGACCATTGAAATAATGAAATAAGAAGTAAATATGAGAGTATACATTTATATGTGAGCTGTATGTATATACTTGTTTACTATACGTTATACACAACTAGTGGGTGATGACCTATACGATAACAAATCTATCCGAGCACAAACTTTCTTCGAAATATTATCATTTATATGTACAAGAATCCTATTTTAATTTTAGTTAATTAAGAAATTATGATTGTAAAATTGTAAGGTTGTCTGTAACGAATTCGAATGTAGTTAAACTATATAATAAAATACTTAATGATTACGTATATTGATTATTGAATGAGGTATAATCAATCCGATATTATCCATGCTTTTGATAACTCATATTTTGTTTGAAAACAATTCAAAACATGCAGTGTACATTATATTTTGTTTCCAATAAAAGCGAAAATTGTACTATGCTGACCTATGTTATTGATATATATATAATAAATTAATAACTGACGGTTATCAAAATAGATCGAAAAAAGCTTCTCCGTTGAAATAAAACGTTTTAGCGTACAAAATAGTTTCAACTATACTACTCGTGTAAATCATTTAATATGTATACGATATACGTGTTCAATTATCAATATTGTATTATGCAATAAAATAAAAAAATATATAATGCATGCCTTCTTATTAGTTTTATGAAATGAGGAAAAATATATTACAACAATTGTGATGTTTTCCTTAAATTAAGACGAAATGGTATATTTATTTTTTGGTGAATCGTAACTACTTATAAAACTTATAATTTGGTACACATACAGTTGGTACCATCTATAACGACACTGGTCACTATGCCATATTGAGGTATAACGACGTTAATAATTTCTAAGTCCCGGTAAAATCCCGTTTATTTATCAGTACATATATAATAAACTTACAATTGAATTTTATATTCGATATGGCATTTATAATTATAATATGGCAAGCGCGTATAACATATCCCAACAAAAATTCTACCCCCAGGGAACCCACCAGCAGCGACTATAAAATATACGTTAGTGGCATGGGTAAATACATACATATAGATAGGTACACATTTTTTATCATATCTGATAATACTCAATATGTATATTTTATAAAAGTGGCTTAAGTCAACTCATCCCAATCGTGTGTACGTGTGGTAAAATCGTCGACTTGACGTATCTACCCAATTCCGGAGGAGACGGACCACTGACCAGTGCTTGAATAGTGGCGGGAAAGCGGACAAGGAAAATGAGAACCTCAACTACATTTTCAGATCTTTTAGAGTACCCCTATACTTTTTTTTTCGAATTGTTGGATTTATTTGAAGGATGGTATGTTATTAGGACTTCTTACAACATTAATAATGAATGATTTTTTTTTTATAAAAAAAACTGATTACACAATGCATCATTTATGTAAGTATTGATAGCTGGTGTAGACGTACAGTGATGTACGGTGATTATATAATAATTACGTATAATATTTAGGTAGAAGGTGATGAGTAACCATGGTTGTAGATATATCTTCAAACTTGTAACCACAAAAGACAAAAAGATAATATTATTAAAAAAATATATTCTCATTTGTAGAATATTGATCAAATTAGGATTAATGAAAAATGTTTGTTTACAATGTTAAATGTATTTTGTCGATAAATTGAAAGGTTAGCTTAGGAAAGCCATCTCCTGCAGTGTCAGCTTAGTCCTTACGTAGTTCTTGATAAAATAATATACGATTACAATTTGGGACTGATTTTAGATATTATAAGTATTATAAGCAAAAAATTATTGTGTATACATTATTTACCTTTATATATGAATATAAGTGTAATGCATGTTATAGAATATATTATTATAAATACCTAACTGACTTAGTAAAAATATTTAAAACTATATGGGTACTTTATTCATAATTTATTTTTAAAAAACCCAGTATTACCTCGATTGCCTGCAAAAAATCAACCACCTACCACGTTTATAATATGGTATGGTTGAAACTCTAAAGTAAGACGTGTATTATAATAATAAGGTTTGCAATGTTTGTTTGTTAATACGTTTAAAGGTGTAATAATGAGCGAGTGTGGGGGAGGGGGAGGCGAAGCCTTTCATGGGTATTTCAAGTAGATTAAATAAAATGAATTCGGTTGGAACGGAAAAGGGGTTTTTCATCGACCGATGATGAGTACCCCTACTATTAATTTTCCAAATCAAGCACCAAATCGACGGACCGATCACTATTATTGTAGCCTATTATGAGCTATATATATATAATATTATTATACATACACTTACAGTGAACCGATTAGGCGATCGTCGCCGTCCTCGTCGTCGTCGTCGTCGTCTCGGTGACACACGCGGTATTCTTATGCTGCAGCCGTGGTATTAAATGCCTACACGTTTATATATATATTTTTCGGAAATAGAGTTGCGCTCCCGTCGTATATTATGTCGTCGACTGCAGCTGAACGCACGGCGAGGCGCAGCTCCGTTTGGCGCACAAAAGTCACGCGCGCAGTGAGGCCGGCGGACCGCGTTTCTTCGGACTCGGTGCCAGAAAGCCGCGGCGGCGGCGGCGACGGCGGCGTCGGCGGCGTCGACGGCGGATGTCTGCCGATCGTTGGCGGGGCGGGGCGGGCGGGCGGTTGACGCGCGCCGCACAGCTGCTGACTTGGCGGCGCCCGATCGGTCGCCCCCTCCGAGTGGGGCTGACGACCCGGGGCGCCAAAATTTTGAGGGTTGACCGGCGAATTTGTGCGTAGCGGACACCCCACCGCGTGACCGGGGTCGCGCGTTCGACTGACGGCCACGCGACGCCGTTGGAGCGGGTTTCGAGAGCAGTCCCGTGCGATAGCGACGAACGCTATACTGCAATAGCGTATTACACACTGCACAGAACTCGTTGCGGAAAAGTTAATTCGGGCCGTGAACTGGTTCGTTGAACTCGTTTTCGCTGAATGGGACTTGTTTCGTCAAAGTTCATTTTTTTTTTTATAAAACAGACTTGTTTTCACACATCGCGATGATTCTACTAAATTCCGTGTTATCGTGCATATTAATAAATTAGTTATTAATTATTATACTGTGTATATATTAGTAATTAAATACTTTGATACTTGTTTAGCTTCAACTTTATAATACATCTCATATGACCCGCATTTATAAATAGTTTAACAATAGTGAGGAAGTAAGTGTAAACATCTTAACTAATTCAATTATTATAATAAATATTATAGAATAACACATTATGTTTTCACATTCTATTTATTATTTATTTAACGCTCTGCAGCCCTTTGTCTGAATGTGTCAATCATTTTGTTTTTTTTTTTCAATTATTAAATATACATGTTTATAGTCCAATACTAGTTCGTACTAGTACTAGTTCACTATTGTGACAAACTGACATATACATACACTTTGACGCAAAATTCACCACGATATTAATGTTCAAATTTCTCCAAATTAGGAACCAAGTTCAAAATAATTTAATTTAAACTAAACAGATTTACATTTTCATAAAAGTTGAACGAGTGAACGAGTTCAATATAATTGATTAATAATGATGCCTGTATTTTATATTATGATGTATGCTATACGTATACCACGATTGATCAATTTACTCATTTACCCAATCACCCCAACAACATGGTAATTTTGGTTGCAAAACTGAATTGAACCCATAAAAATTATTCTGGTTAATTTTTGGTTTGGGTACTATTTTAAATTTTGAACACAGTAGATCAATGTTTGATCATACTAGAGACTGTATCATCATATATTCCAACTGATATATCATTTGAATATTTTTTATTTTTAAGGATCTATAATATATACCTTTATAGTTACACCATATGGAGCTTATGTCTAGATTTGTATATCGTTTATGGAATGTCCTGTGACAATGCAAACTTTTTTTTCGAATGAAAACCAATCTTTTTCACATAAATTATTGAAATGTAAAGGAATATTTGCTGAGTTATTGACTTTTGTGTATTAAAGAATAAAGATAATAGGTAATCCTTAATAATAGATCTACCTAATATTAGTCTATAGTTATCTATTGCTTACTTGTTATTCTCAGGCAATTTTTCCGAACTACAAAATATTATTCTAATATATTCTAATATTAATTAGTATTATTTTAAATCATAGCCATAGCCCCGATATCTATTATCCTTAGGAGGTACGTAAAACTTAATAATTTAGAAACTAATCGTTCAAATGTTGATTCATATAGGTATATACAAATTAAAAGCAATCTCCTGTCTAACAAGAAACAATTTATAGTAAAAAAGGAAAGTACTTCTCATTTGAAAAAAAAAGTTTGTATCTTCATAACCCCCAGAACACTGTATAAATGGCCTAACAATTTAAGTAGTAATTTATTGAAATTTAAGTATTTTAAATTAGTGTCTTTTAGTAGATAAAAATTCCAAAAATTCAAATTCGAATACATTTATTATGAAAGGAAAAATGGGGGTGACTGAATGAGCATGTCCCACGAATCACTTACCACGTGTGTACTTATATAACATATACACTATACAGGCTTTGTATAGTTAATAATATGTACCATGTATACAATATACATAAATATTTGTATCCGTTTTTTTCTTTTTTTTTACGAACAAATAATAACATCACATTGGCACTTTATTTCGACGATGGACACATTTTTCAAGCGTCCTGATTTTTTAGTATCTTTTTTATGAACTGTGCAGAGTGCTACACAATCGAATCGATTATAATGGGTTGTCAGTTTTACATCCGATAAATATGTACGTTAATGAATCGGATATCGAAAAAAGTGGTACAGCCCAGCTATATAAATTAAAAATACGCCCATTATAAATGCATAACAACGTATTTATATTATACACAAATACACGTAATTATGCATGCAGCGTAAAAGAGACGCCTGCGGTAGACGAGAAACAAACCGTTTAACGGTCGGTATTTGTTTTATACCATTCGCATATACATAACATAACCTGCAGTATTGAGATGTAGTTGTGTTGTGTTTCGCGTTTTTTTGTTGTTTTTTTTTTTACATCATAACGTTATTTATTATCTAGTTAGCTACACGCTTTATGGATAAGTATATAGGTATATATTATTATACACATATTTAGGTAGGTACTCAAAAAAAAATTTCGCCCTCCAACTATCGTACTCAAATTACATAACTCTTAACTATGCCGTTCAACATAATATACCTGGTCATAATATAAGTAGGTACTTTTAATCTTTAATAAACATCTTATAAACATTGCGCAAAATTACCGTATGAAATAATAACTGGTATATATTTGTAAGTTACAAGTAACCTATGCATAACTCGTTTTGTTCACGAAATAATCGATATTACGGCGATATTATTGTACTCAGTGTTTTATGAACGATTAAACATTATTGATTATATTATAAATTTATAACTGAACAATTCTTATCGATGCACTGATTGTCGTCGTAAAAATGCGTTTGAGTAAAAAAGAAAACGAAAGTACCTATCTACTTAAAAATATACAAATGTATTGATTGTTTCGTGTCTTATATGCAGGTAGATTACAATTTGTAAGTTGTCAATTACAATAATTATTATGGTGGTTGGAAATTAATAATTACACAAAATTATAAAAATTATACACACATTTAAAACCTGTACCGGGCTATACTACCTTCTTGTGTAGAGTATTGTGAACCAAGAAAATATATAATGAACGTTCGTGTATAACTGCAGTATAATAATATCTTCGACGCATTCGATCGATATCAATAATAAGTAAAACCATCCACTCTCCCTTCGGTCCAAATGCCCTTGACCATCGTGATTCTTAAATCGTTTGTTTACGCACTAAACCATTCCACGTTCCTGATTCCTTGTTCAATTATGGAACTTTTAGGACAGTACAGAAACGTACATTTAACACGTGTTTATTTGTTATTTGTTCATATTATTTAACAAAATATTGTGAACATTTGTACACGGTATTATTTTCACTAATAAACATCATAAGGCGTGGTTGTAGGTTCGTACATAAACGTAATATCTAAAGGGTCATATAACCATTAACCACAATAGACCTACATAGATATCGATCATTTTACTACCCTATAAGAGTTATTGATTTGTGTGGTGATTACTGATTTGTATTTATTTTAGAGACACATAATATCATTTTTTTTATTGTTAGATATAATATTATGTAGGTATTAGATAATTTGCTAATCATTATTATTATACACTACTACTATGTTTGCGATAAAAGTTTATATTTTAACCATATCAAGAATAAAGCTATCGAGGATCACAAATCACAAATGGTCAAATAAATTATGATAAGTTTTATTTATTATTTTGAATTGTAAAATGTTAATAACATAAATGAACAAAGAATTATTAAAGGTAGATTATTTCTCGGACAGTCGTACTGTCATGCTAATACTAGCTTTATAAATCCTGTGTCGAATCATAAAAAGAAAATACATACTCATATTTTTAATTTGCAACTGTTGGACACCATTTCAGTTTTAGAATACTTTTTCATGTTATGAGTAGGTACTAATGTATTAAAAGTCTAAAACTTATAAATTATAAATTAAACCAAAAGTCTGTATAAATCTTGTCTTAACAATTAACAGTTTATTTTATTTGGAGACATTTTTACCGTCCATCGGGGTCTAGATCCATAGGGCTATATTTAAATGTACCTGCACCTTAAAGTAACCAGCGGTCGTTCATTAATCGTATTCGTCACTGGAGATAGTTTCTGATTTCTATATGATTATGAATTATGGGTGAACTAGCTGAGTGATGTATTGGAGATTTTATCGTCCGAACAGTTTATCGTTGTTTTCAAACACCACGCCAGTGTAATGCAGTGGTGTAAACAGATATTTTCAATGGAAAGGATTATATTAATTATACTATAATACAATTATATGTATATGTATAATATTATGTATTATGTATATATATATATCAAAATATTATTTAAATTTTATTGATTTTTATACATCCATACATATAACAAAAAGTACTAATGGATGGAAGGAGGTGGACCCCCCCCCCCCCTAACGTGTTTGCGCCACTGTTAAATTGGTCTCTATACATCCAACAAAAATTAACGGAAATTTGTCTATCACAACAATCGATATTATATTAACTATATAGGTAAGTGTAAAATAAATAACATTCGGTTATAAATACCTAATGAGATTTAGGATGAATAAGTTTTTTTTATTTTGAGGAATATGATTAATTGTTCTCGTTATACCTGCCTATAAACTTATAGGAGAAAAATCATACTAAAACACATTTAATACCTATACGGCTATACATTGTTAATATAATTATATACAAATATTGTATTATATTCACTTACCTTTTGGCTTTTACGTTGAACGTCATGTTGTTAACAAAATAAAATAATTCATGGACACTGCATGCAGCCATAATCCAGGCGCGAGATTGAATGCTATTGAAATAGTGAAATGACTAATGTATCACCTACATATGATAGACGGGAGGTTTATACAAATAAGTACCTAATTACAACTATCAAAATACTGGGCAAAACTCGAGAAAGTATTATAGTTTGTTTTGTTCGCGATAACCGGTTGTATATTCGTATACACGATTATATATCATACATTATGCAAACATTCTCATTTTTACGATATTTAAATATCGATGAAATCAATTGTTTATGTTTTATGCCACTTTATCCATTACATTTATTATACGTTATAATATTATACAATAGTGCGTTGTTTTCATCTGTCGATTTTATGCCGTTAAGGGAAAATGATTGTAGGTAAAAACTGCCTGGGAAAAGACGAGGGTTCAGATACTACAAATTAAATAAGTTCATATCAGAAATGCATTAAAGTTGAAACATTTCCCAATCTATACAAACTACTGAACTTGGTGTTTGGCCCATATGGGTAAAGTCTTCATCATTTTCAATTGCATCTTTTAAATGAATGTATTGTTCTTCTTTCAGAATTGATTGATTACAATAGATTACATTTTTATGTATGTAATGTTAACATTCATTTTCAATTTTCGAATGCGTATAATATATCGACGATAAATTATTGTTAAAACAGTAAATCATTTTCTGGATTTTTACCATTTAAATTACCATTTATCTATACGAGTATGCATAAAAATCCATTGCAACTGTGATTGGATTTATTTGCTTCATTTCTAAATGAAATCCATCTTCATCCTGCTAATGCCAAAACATCAATAGATATTGCATAAGGCATCATAGGGATCATATTATAAGCATCACATTATGAGGTTCTTGAATTTGTTACATATTTATTACTACGTTTTAGTAATACAATATCAAGTTTTACAGATTAATGTCTTTAACACAGTAATTTCTGCAGCTATACTTCATTTATGACAGGTAAATTCAAACTCCGTTCATATGCTGATCTACAAGTATTTTATTGGCTCTGAGAATTGTTTTTGCAATCATTGGTCGGCATATTCTTTAGTGTTCTAGCATGCTTGGTGAATCACTCTGTGTACTAAAAATTAATATAATTATACGATGCAACTCTTGACAAATTTTAAAACTTAATGTCTGAGAAATACCAAGTTTTAAATTTTAAATTTTTTTTAAAGCAACATTAAAAACCAAAATCGATTTGATCAAAAACCGATTTTGCGTAAAAATTTCCGTTTTTCCTTAATTTGTTGTTTGTTTTTCCCGACGCTTCTAAAAACCACTGAGAATTTTAAATTTTGACCTCAATTCACCAACTAGATTCACTTTCCACTGGAAAAGATAATGAAATTGAAAATTGAAGCATTATTTCGACTACTTATAGTGTATTGTGTATACATATGCAAATAAAATCATTATAAAATCAATACATTCATCGCTCTTGAATCTAAAATAACCGTAGATTCGTAGATATATAAAATTTCAACTAAATGCCTAACCCACTTTCAGATTCTCTCCACAAAAAGTAAATTTAAGACGAAATTATTGAATTATAAATCAAGTCACAATTCCTCTTTTGCAATAATATTTTAAATTTTATTAATTTTCACTATTTTGTATAAATAAGATTCGGAAAATAGAAATCGATATCATTTGCACAATTTTGTGACTAATACAGTTGAAAACTTCAAATACCCCGTCCAATTTATGCTACCTAGTTATTTCATATTATTAATTAATAAATAAAGAAATAGTATAAGTTTATAATAATTGTATGTGGGTACTGCAGACTGTAAATAGTTATGAATAAAAAGTTAGATGATAAGATATCATATCTTCATAGATTCAAACACAACTATAATGAGATATGGTGTATCCGTGTATACAACCATTGTTTAAGAATAAATAAACGAGTACCTATATGTTTACACGTCATAGTCACTTAAATCAGACGCTTTAGATTATAATTACCTATTGTTGATATTATATTGTATTTATAAAATTTAACGGCGACGTATACAGCGGTGTGTATAAGATTTAGCATGTTTTAATTATTGTTTCAACGTGTGTAAGCATATTCGATTAAAATGTACCAATACGGTTCATTACATTATTATGACCGGAAGTGAGTAGCAGAAGGTAACCTTTTTAACATTTTCATATACATTAAATAAGTACCTATATGAGCTGTACTACCTACTATAGGCTATAATCATATTAGAAACCAAAACATTACATCAATTATGGTTTTATTTAAAATGTATGTTACTTTATATAGTTTATTATATACTATTTCTATTGCTCAAGTTCAGTTTCCGGTACTTTCAAATCTGTTTAAAATGTAGTCTGAACTGATTTCTAGATAGAATAATTATTATTTCAATACTTTTTTTAAAAACAGAAACTATATTTTATTTAAATTTTATATATCTGACTGTTATTCCGTAACCATACTAGAATAGCTACTATCTAGCTAGATTATGTTAATATTTTTTTATTCGTGGAGTTCGTGCAATTTTTAAAATTGTATTCATGGTATATTTTGCACAAAAATGGAACTTGAAGTTGATATAATAAAAAGGGTATATGAGAAGACCAATTAGGATCAGTGGTGCATTTTCAAATTTGTATGTGTGTGTGTGGGGGGAGGAGGAGTCTAAAAAAAGTAAGTTTTTAATATTATTAAAAATACATATGATTATATAAGTTATGCGAGTTAATAATTTTAATTCCATTATTACTATAAAGTATAAATACGAATTAAGAGCTTTAAATAATAAAAAAAGGAAGATCCTCTAATTTCCTAACTTAGGATAATGCTAATGTTTTAAGGTACCTTTTTTTAATTTAAGTACCAATACTTACACAATTAGGCGCATTAGGCACCTATAGGTACATTAAGATGGATATAGATCTTGATAGTCGATAATCGACTTAGGCCTTACATATAAATACATTATACACGTAATATAATACATAAGCGGTTGAATTACTTTTCTGAGGGGGGGGGGGGCTAGTTTATCCAATATAAATAGTTTATGGATGCGTCCTGCGTCCCATATTCAAAACATAAAATCCCATATGGGCGAGAGTGCTTTTGAAACGAGAAACCTCCCTGGAGACCACTTATGATTATGTGTTAGACTGTTATGTAACGTATTGGTGGTAAGCTGCTTTTACAAAAAGAAAAAAAAACGTTATTAGCAATAGTCATTGGATCATCTTATTTTGTTTTTACACTTTCGGTAATCCACCAGTTATACGGTTTTCAATTCCGCATTCATTTCTGCCTCTTCGGATTTTAAACATTCCACCCATGCCCCAAGAATTACCCCATGTATTAGCACATAACCAGTAATCTATTCCGTCGTCTTGACCCCATCCCATTATTTTGACAGCGTGGTCGCCTTTTAATGCACCGGTCGTATACTGATATATTCCTAAAAAAAGCAATATAAATTAAATGTTACAATATTAAATGTTCGTTGATGTGTGCGACAATGACACTAGTGATATTAGTATCTGTTGTTCGTAAGTGTGGTGTGATTACCTATTAAAGTACCTACTTACCTCCTTTATAGCATAAGAAATCTTCATAGACTTTCATTGCTGCCACAACAGGTCCATTTTTATATACTTCCCCCATAATTATTTCAGGTTTTGGTTTAACAGAATACACTTTATAGGCTACAAAAAATAAAATAACAACAAAAATATATTGACAATTTGGTAAACATATTGAAATTAAATGTATTTAATATTTACCTACCATAGTACAGATCTGATTCTAATGGAGTCTCATAGTTGTTATTGGTACACTGATCTCTGAAACACTGGGGAGTATCTTCATTTTCCTTAGAGCAGGAGTTTGCATTTCTTGGACAAGGAGCTATACTATATGGCTGACATCCCTAAATTAAAGCATATTTAAAGAATATAATACCTTAACTACTTGGTAGAAAGAGTTAAATAATTCATTTTGTCCTACATGATTCAGTAAATACCATCACGTTTAAATAAAGATTACCAAAGACTATATTATATTAATGTAAATTATTTTATGTATATATTGTATTTATGTAACGTTATAATGGTTGACAGCAATAAACTATTAAGATATTGTCAATACACATCAAGTTCAAATGACCTATATAGTATATATAGGCTATGATAATTTTTAAGATAAAAAGAGTAGACTATTGCAACTTGCTCGAATGGAATAAAAAAACTATGTATTATATTATAATGTATACCTGCCATAGAAAGTATTTGTAAAAAAATGTACTTTTAAATGTTCTACTAATTTATGCATAAATTAATTGATTATTATCGAACAAAAAATAATATACCCTATATGGTCCATTAATATTTATTTTTAATTTATTTCTTATTTTTTTTTACATTACAAACATAATTCATATAAACAAAAATAATCATGATTAAATTGTATGTTTCTTACACTTTGATTTTAAAATTGGTGACCAAAATAATCTACTGGTCGAAAATGGTGGTTACAGAATTCTGAAAAGTTACTAGTTCAAAAAGGGTCCAAAAAAGGGTTCATACCCACTTTTCCGAATCCCAATTCGCCGACAACTCAATTTGCCGACAAATATACCAGTTTTAAAATATTTTTAAAATATTCCCTTTTCGCCGACAGTCTAGTTTGCCGACGTCTCGGTTCGCCGACAAATTATTAATAAAGTTTTCATTTTCCCGATTCGCCGACAGTTGACAATGATCTTATCGAAAACGGATAAGATAGCGATAATATGTAGTATAGATTGGTGAATTTAGTTCAGTCCTCAAGCCATCTTTATAGCGAACCTTAGGATAACTATATTGAAAAGTGCTTTATTCTTATTACAAATTTAATTAAAAATGGAATGGTATAAAATCAAATCTGAAAAAGAACGAGATTTACTAGTGGTCGATAATTTTATTCATCGCATTGATAGAATACGGGACACAACTGAGTATTATAAATGTATTCAAAATTGCGGCGGTCGTGCTATTTTAAAAAACAATACCGATGTTGTATTGTCGAAAAAACACGATCATCCAATACATGGAGTTATAATAATTAAATAATGTATCTACTGACTTAATGGATTAATAATCATTTATACATGATACATTTGTATTTATTTTTATTTTTTAATAAGTCGGCGAATTGGGAGTCGGCAAATTGGGAACATGTAAATAAATAGTCGGCGAACTGGGGTGTCGGCGAATTGAAAGTCGGCAAACTGGGATGTCGGCGAATTGGGATTCGGCAAATTGGGTTTCGGCGACGTGGGAAGACACGCCAAAAAAGTGATCTTAAATGACCTACTTCCTATATCAATGTTAGGATAAAAATTGTAATAGATTTTTCAAAAGAAATACATTTTTATACTTCAATATTTTTAAATATTAAATGAAATATACTTTTTTCTTACGGAGATTGGATACCGAACGTTCTTAAGTAGTTCTGCAATATAGGTAATTTCAATGAGCATTAGGGCCATGCAAATGTTTGAGTAATAAGTGATCACTTTACACACTAATTACAAATATATGTATTTTTAAAATTTTTTAAATTTTCATAATCAATTAATAAATATAAAATTTTTTTTAATTGTTCTTTTTTCCTTGGTATTTTTTTCTGGGATTCCGTCGATATACCACTAGAGTGGTTGAATTCGGAGATACGAGGGGATGGCATCCCTCCACTTTTTAAAATTTACATTTTTCATTCCACCACTTATTTGAAGCCACTTCGACTACTGAATAAAATATTATTTATAGCTGCAGATAGGTGGTCGAATACAATGTTTACTTTTAAGTTTTGTTATTTAAAATACCATTAGACAAAAAATAAAAGATATTGCATATTATCATCTGATACGGTTTTTGAAAACACAAAATTTAAAAAATTATTACATATGGCACTAACCTCGTTAGAAGCGTATTCACCTCCGGTACATAATCCGTTTCTCTTTATGAACTTCCACGCTTTTTCTGGATGACCACCGTTACATCCGTCACCACATTTACCATTGCAGCACGAATTTATGTATTCACCAGATAAGACTTTATTAACACTCATATTTGAGGTGATACATAGACGATCACTAAATGCAGAAGCAGTTGATAGGGCCTATATATGCATATATATATGTTATGTACTTACATGAATATAAATTTCGATGGCTGATTGAGCTTTTTTAGTCGTTAGAAAGTGAATGATAAAAAATGGTGAAACCCCTCACCCAACAAGATCCGCAATTTGATTGGTCTCTGATTGAAACAACCGATTTGCATTTAGACCATGTTTGCGTAACATCATAACTGTCCGGCAGAGATTCAGAATCAATGGATACATCATATGTGGGGAGAATGTCCTTTTCACTTAGTTTATTCCGTGGTAGAACTCCCATGCGATGTGAAACGTTCGTCAAAAAACTTGGATGTAAATTTATTCCAGCCTTAAATAATATATTGATATATTTACTATATTAATATCAATATATAATAATATAAATGTAATATAATATGAGTGGCTATGTGTAAATATGTATTAACCTAAAATTTCGCGGTACAAGCTTGGTATAAAATATGTACACCTTGCCACCTTGGGCTTGGAAGTTTAGGAGAACTCCATACATACTATAGATACGGGAATTACTTACTCAATTAGTCTAAACTACTTATAAGTTATAGGTAGGATAAAATATTGTTTAAATATATAGTTCTGAAGGGTTGCATCACAAGACAACTTCCCTCCTCGTGTATTAACTGTTCGTGTTATTATTTATTAAGTACACGTATATATATTTATCAAAACGTCGATTCCAAAATACTGCAAAATCTAATTTAAAAACATTATGTACAGAACGTTGGTACCTACTGATTATGTTTATTTTATACTACATAGGAGAATAAAATAAATGAACAGCAAATGACGAACTATAATATACAATATACATGTATTATGTTGACACGAAGTATGGAATATGGATAACACGTGTCACTTACCCACACGACACACAGACAGTATGCTTGTCAATTATTATACCACCAATATTGTAAAATAAAATAATACACATTTACCACTTATAATATATTAATACTTATCTTTTTAATATTACTAATATGAAAAGTGAAGACTGGAGATAAAGAACCTGCCAATAGTTCAATGCACGACTTAGGTAACACGTATGATAAAATTATTGTATTCAGATTTCAAATCATTATGGGTAGTATGCAATAATTGCACCTATGCAATAATTATATCGATATTTTTTGAAAAATAAACCGATTGTCATCATCATTTAATCCACGTCAAAATATTTTAAAATTGCAACATACGCATTGAAAGTTTAATTTTTATTTAAATGCAACTTTAGATAAGGGATGTGTGTGTGTTACAAAGTCACAACACAAGTATAATGATTTACAGTTAAAAGTTACTTAAAAATTGACGTAAGCAACTGGCATAATTAAATTTTACATATTGTTACAACAATAATGTACTCAACATAACTGGCTTATATAACTTTTTGATACTTACAACTGATTAGACACTGCTAAAACTCAACACTGCTATATAGATTATTAAATTGTTTTCAAAGTCCAAAATTGTTTATTTTTAAGGTAGGTATACTATACTATAAATACCAGTTACCTATATTATAAAAACAAAATAATTGACAGTAGTCAGTAGGTTTACTGGTTGTAGGCATTCAAACTGTTAAACACGTTTTAATATGATTCTCCTATTGGCCTAACCCTTATAATATTATAGTTTAATGATTAATATTAATATATAGTCGTTGTAGTGCAACTTGTTTAAGAACCATTTTCCAGGTTAAATGGAATACGGGTGGGATATTTCAATTGAATAAACATAAATGTACATGTTTTTTTAAAAAGACATTAAGACACCTTAACTGAAACTCGTTCTTAAGTTAGTTCAAATATGTCTTACCTTCCATGTGTGTTTTGGAATGTTATTCACTAGTTGTATGATTTGATTCACTTTAAACAAAGGTGTACTACTAATAACATTAAAATATAAAATAAAACCTACGATTACCCGCGTGACACCAATAAACATTGTCGAGAAGTGACTATTTCAATTTGTATAGTACAAGTTCAATTGTTAAGTATAAAGTGACCGAATTTCACTACGAAAGATATTTATATAGGTACCTGTATCGGTATATTGAGTATTAGGTACACTCAATAATGTTATGGAATTTTCAATATGGTAATATTATACACTTAGTCGTTGTATATGAAGCCACCTGTAGGGAATATTTTATAATTTCTTGAAAGATAACGTTATTAGGTATTTGATTTTATAACTAATTTAATGATTGAAAAGTAATTGAAGTAAGTACATACTTTAATATTTGTATACTATGTAATTCAGAATAATTAGAAGATATAATACAAAATGCGTAATTAATTAGATAAAAATATTAAAACTGGTGTATCTAACTAAAGAACAATAATAACTTTTCTCAGTTATTGATAAGTATATCATTAGTCACTACTTATTCTGCTGAAGTCATTGAAGAAAATGAGTCATTTAGGTATACAGGGTGATTTTTTAAGCATGCTCATCATATTTTTATCTTTAAATCATGCATATACCTATAAAAGTTCAAATTTTTGGAATTTTTAAATACATTTGAAGACCAGTTTTTCGAATCATTGAAATTTTTTGTACCACTTAAGCATGATCCTGTGACAATACAAACTTCAGTTTTTCAAATAGGAACCTCCCTTTTTTATTTTAGATTATTAAACCGATATTTTTTTTTAAAGAATTTTGATGAATCTAAATCAAAATTTAAGCTAGTAGTTTTTGAGTTATGTAACTTTGTGTTTTAAGGATAATATATCTAATAATAATATGTAATAGGTTAAGTAGATAAGAGGCTTAAATAATTTGAAAAAGTTAGTAATAACTATTGATTTATCAATATAAATAATTTGCAAAAACGAATCAAGTATAATAAATACTAAATCTAACGTTACTTATAGTTTTTATTTTTATAAAACCATTTTTAAGGATTATTATCCTTAGTATAAACATTTTAACAACACAGAAACTACGCATTAGAACCTCATTTAGACACATCAACATTTTCAAAAAAATAATCCGTTAAATATTTTTTAGTAAAAAAGAGGGGTTCTCATTTGAAAAACAGAAGTTTTTATCGCCACAGGATAGGTACTCAGTATAGTACAATTAATATCAGAAATTTGAAAAAATGGTCTTAGGCCTACTTAAAAATTCTAGAAATCAGAATTTGAATAAATTTACTAATGAAGGAAAAATGAGGGTGAGCATACTTAAAAAATCACCCTGTATACAAATTTGTCAACATACATAGGTAGTAGGTAATTGCTTATATAGTGATGTTTTGGTAAAGTTGACCAGGTAAACTGTCTAGTAAATCGTAATATTACAAACTATAACCATGACGTATACACAAAATATATTATGCTGTACACTGTACATAATATCTAAAAAGTATAAACAGATAACAAAACAATTTAAATGGTATTTTCTTGTCGATCTTAATCAAAAACATATTCATCATTTTTTTCGAAATTCACAAGTAATAATAATTCTTTCTTTGAATTTATTTAAAAAATGACTCTTAATTATTGTATTTAAAAAAAAACTATACCAACGACTTATTATCTTATGCTTTACATTGTTAACACCTGCAGCTGTACCTATATATTGTTCAATTGTTCAACGTAAGACTTTGGTCAACAATTGACAATAATTAATTTTTTAAAAGGTACATCTCAAATTTCATTTTTTTAGTTCAACTATAGTTTTGATTAAAATTGGCATATTTTTTAAAGTGTTTTAGATAAACTGAACTTTCAACAACTATTATCTGAAAGTTTGGAATAATATTTTTCCATTTCTTTAAGATTCGTAAATAAAAAAACAATGATCCCAATTAAAAAACAAAAATCTGATTCCCTCAAATACACATTATATATTGTAGCTCAAATTAATGTGCAAAAGAAATATTTTTTAGTGACTAAATTAGTCAGGTTAAACATCCCCCGACCATTGTAAATATATTTTTTATTTGACATTTGTGTCTGCTGACTCTGAAGTTGGAAAATTTGACAAAAATAAAACAAAAATCGTATACTACAACGCCATCTAACGATGAGGCCTGTCCTTCGTAGTTTATTTCAAGTTTAAGAAATTACTAGTCAGATTGATTGCGAAATTTATTATTTCAAGACCAAAGTTTTCGCCTTTCGGCTATTTGATTTTGCACACCCATTATTCACTAGTAACAAAACAAGATTTAACTCAGTCACAAAAATTAATAACTATATACGGAATGAGAATATAAAACAAATTATGTCGCAAGCTTTCGACTTCTCGTCCTTTTTTCAGTGAGTTACATTACGTTAAAAATATATTTATAATATTATTGAAATTCATATTAATAATTAAATAGTCCATACCTGGTATATTATATTGACGTTATTGTGGACCAATGTTTAAAATTAAAAGTATAAAAAGTATAAATAATAATAATTATCTTAAACCATGTTTTGGGCGGTGCCATGTACATTGATAAAAGCTGATATCGCAAGGTGTTTTGATAAACCTTATCACTCGGTGTCGCAGTCAATGAATAACTCTACATTATAATTATTTTGTATTTTATTAATTTTGACCATAATCAGAATAATATCATCAAGACGTCGACCTTGTCCCTATCCCGGAGGGCACTTCAAGTTCATATTATAATTGACCAGTGACAATTATTGTATTTACCGATATCATCTGTGGCACAGTTATTGGTTGAATATTACGTCCTGTTACTTAAAAAGTCGAACTTCCTTATTTCCTAAGACATGTCGGTCGTCTACAAAGCCGTAGTTTCAGCAGCCGACAAAGTTGTACCACGGGGCTTGAGACCACTCTGGGAACATCCGGCGGGTAATTTTAAAAATAAATTTTATTACAACAACCGACCTTTTCAGTCCAAATTCATGTGAGAAACATTGACATAACTCAATTTTATTTTTGCAGGTCCAAAGACTATTTTCTTCTGGGCACCCGCATTTAAATGGGTAATAATTATGAGTAGAGCTTGGATATTTGACCAGAATTTCATTAAAATTTGCAATTATATGCCTTAAAATATATCAAATATACCTATTTTTCAAAAAATATATTCAATTAAAGGGTTAATATTTAAAAAAAATGATATTATACTCTTGTGAATGAGTGTTTAAAATAACCTGATTATAAAATATACAAGTATTAAATATTGAAAAAATATTAATTACTTGCCGATCTATTGAAGTTGACTTGTGCATAGGTCAAGTACTTTAAATATCTGAATTATACTGTATCTATAACAATTATTTTGCTGATATTTTCAAATTGTCAAGACCTTTGACGATCTGAAAGTATATTTATATAATTATCTAATCTCTTAATTTTTTTTTACGGGTCTTACTCTTTAACACAATTAACAAGTATAATAGTCAATTTATAATAATATAGAAAATTTTTAATATTTTACTTATAATTTTTTAAAACATGCATCTTAATCTAGAAATCATCATTATATGTGTTTATATGGTCAAAAATGTCAATAATTATGTAAAAATATCCAAAATAAGTTTGCATAGCTATAATCTAAACTGTAAGAATTGAGTTTATATCATACCCAACTAAGATTCTAGTTGAGCGAAAAAAATATGCAGTCATAAACATCCGAGCTCTGATGATTAACATTTCTATTTAATCTATCTTTTTAATTGTGATAATATATACTTTTCTAGGGCTTAGTTATTGCTGGAATTGGAGATATTACTCGTCCAGCAGAAAAAATTAGCATATCTCAATGCTCAGCATTAGCTGCCACCGGTATCGTGTGGTCACGATATTCACTCGTCATTATACCAAAAAACTGGAGCTTGTTTAGCGTTAATGTTTTTGTGGGTGCTACAAATTTATATCACTTGGTCAGAGCTTTTATGTAAGTTCTAAATATATTTATAACAACGTTAACACTCTTACAATATAGCTTAAAAGTTAATAGGATATTAAAACATGTTCAAAAGAAATCTTATAAAATAATGTCAATAACAACTCTTATTTTTAATGGATCATCATAGATATTTGTTCTTATTTCTATCTTGTAAGCAGTGATATATCCAGAGGATCTAGGAGCCATCCATGGCCTTCCCCAACCTCATTGACTGTATTAAATTTATGATTAATTGGTTATTGATTTTTATTATTTATGTGTTATCGAATATTCATAACTTCATAGGCATGTCCACCCCCCTCCATGTTGAAAATTCTATACAAATCACTGCTTGTAAAGATACTGTTAAAATTATCAGTTCAAGTTTTCACTTATTGCAATAACTTATCATATTATTACTATTTGAAACCAATGAAAAAATGTAAATGTTTGCATTAATTTATAACTATTTATTATATTTTCTAAAATTAGTCACAATAATTTGAATTATTTTTTTTTTTTTTTAATTGATCCTGAGCCCGGCAACTGAGGCCATTAGCTATTAGTAGGTACTGTAGGTTTTTTTTTTTTTGTATTGATGGTTTGTAGGTTTTTGGAACGGTAGGGGGAACACGTGTGTGTTTGTTTTGGCAGAATTTCGAATGGGGCACCCGTAGGTTTCTGCCATGCCCCGGGGGTGGGGATGGCAGCACTTGTTCTCCGGTCACCGCGAATTGTCCGGAGAAAAATGCCGCCCGGTGGCCGAGGATCGAACCGCGACCGGCTGCGTCGCAGCGGAAGAGTCAGACCACTCGGTCACCTCGTCCCCCAATTTGAATTATTGTTTAGTCCATTAAACAACTTAGATAAATGGTTGTAGAAATTATAACAAACTGATATCTTAATTAATGTTTCAGGTACCAACAAGAACAAAAGAAAGCATTGGAAAGTGGCACTAAAAGTGACAAATAGATTAAATGTACATTAAAATGTATAATTTAATGATAAAATAATTTTAATGTTTTTGTTGTATAAAATGAGTCAAAAATTATTCAATTACAATAAGGATGAATAAATGATTTGTCTTATTGAAAGAATAATAATAAAGTCATTATCATAATGAATTAGATGAATAAATACATTTATTGTACAACTATCTGGCTCAGTAACCTCTTTTAAAGCCGTCTGCACCGCTATAGCCTCTGAAACCTCGTCCTAAAAAAAGAGATTATTATTTTTTAGAATTCAATTAGATACAAGCATAATTTTATAATAATATTGTTATGTATAATGTATATTGTTATTTTTTATACTAATTTAATCATAAAAGCTCAATTGGAGGAAAATATACGAGACATAAATATTTATTATATTTTGTATATTAATGGTATTCCTTTCCTGTGTATGTACATGACTAGTGAGTACTTGTAAATTGTAACTATAATTCTTGTGGTATGATATTTTAAATTTTAAAGAGAATTTTATTTGTGCAGTTTATAATATGTGGATTTAATGGTAAATAGTGGTTATAGTCAGGGACGCAAAAAATAATCTCTGACTGTCATGTGCCAAGCAGCAATTTTTTGATAGTGGTTGTCAAATCACTGTGAATATCATTTTATACACGTAACAGCCAGTTATAGTTTTATCTATTTTCTATAGTAACAGCCAGCGCGGCATTATAATATTAAGAACCAATTGTTAATATGGTGAGTTGATGAGTATGAACAACAGGCAGGCGGCATAGATCATTTTTGCGTCCCCGACTATGGTGGTTAAAACAGCCCAAAAAGTGAAACAGAACTTATGAATAACTTTTAAATACTTAATATTATTTATGACTACCCTGCCGATAACTTCTGCTCAGTGCACATAGTACACATATATGGTGGTGATAATGGTAGTGACTTAAGTTAAAAAGCTAACAAACTTATGTTAATAATATAAATATATAATTGTAATATTATTAAATGCGGATAACTTTGAAAAACATGTATTAAATTTAAAGGTGTATCACAAGACACACTTAAACATAAGATAGTCAACACCCCTGTGGCATATATAGCATAATATTATATACATATGTCAGATATATATAACACATTAAATTACAGTAGTTCAAACTAAATGTAATTATTTATGACATAAATATGAAAAAAATTTATTTGATGAAAACAGTTTATAATTTAACTAAAATAAATCTCAAAACGTTACATACCTCTTCCAGAGCGCCCACCGCCATAATAACCTCTTTGGTTATATCCACCACGAAACGATGAAGAATTTTCACGGAAACCTCTTCCTTGATTATAACCTCCTCTACCCCCTCTTTGAAAATTATTATAGCTAGGGTAGGAATGATTAATATGTTGAAATTTAGCATTTGAAGCTTCATCGCTCTCATTAAATGCTTGGCTAAACTGTCTTTTATTATTTGGTCTATCACTGTAAATTTAAAAAAATTGTATACATTTTATTTGATAAATACATTTTTTTAAAAATGTACTTACCCTTGAACAAACGATATTGGAGAAAGATTATATCTACCACAGTTAAAATTGCATAGTTCTTTGAGAATATTGATAAGTTTAATATCTGCTTCACTTAACATTCCAATTAATTCTGGTTGTTCAGATGCCTGAACAATTAATCTTTCAATAGCTGGTCTTAAAGCTACAATCGCAGAAGCAGCTGTAGCATCCATTTTTAAAGTTATCCTTTAAAATATAAGATGGTTCATAGCTTTATTGAATAATATTATATTTTAATAAAAATTTATAATCCTAGACAGTGGACATAATATTTTTTTAAACTTCATTATATACATATATATATACAGAATGTCCCATGAGGATATACCCATTAGTCATAAAGGGGTACCTACCGCCTGGACAAAAACCGGTTTTTGCTGTTTTACCTATATACTAAAAAAATGATCAAAAACCATGAAAATAATGAAATTAAAATGTTGAAAGGTCAAAATTTTCAGAAAAAAACTACAAAATTGATATCTTCATTGTTTCAATATACAAAATCAAAAAACAATTTTTTAACTTTTTTACCAAAAATTAATGAAATTTAATAATAAAATATGTGTCCTTGTCTCTGTGAGTCTAATAAAAAAAAAATAGATTTATGATATATTTATTGTCGCAGGAGATATCGTAGGTAAATCCTAGTGGGACAAACTACCTATATGATTTACTTGTTAAGTTGACAACCATTACATACCAATTATCTAATTGGACAAATTCTTTGGTATATTCAATTTTACGAGCACCAAACAATAGAAGATGAATAGGAGTTACCATGGTCATTTGCTTGCAAGATACAGCTCTAGTACGTACCTAAATAAAAAAAATTAAATTAAAAAATATATTATTATTCTACATAAATTATTCATTATTTTGTAAAATTACATTTTATTAGGTCATAGTTTCATACTATTTTAATGAGTAAGATTAATTTAGACTAGAATATGCCATATCTTACCTTTTCTGCAAATACAAAAAATGGTGACTGGAAAGAGCCAGCGGCCATGACATTATTACAATTTACAGATGTCTTATGAATAAGTGCAGCCTTTCCTTCTGTTGTGTACACCTATATTTAAACACAGAATACATATTAATATATTTAATTAAATAAATGTAATATTCACATCATCAAAGAATCTTCAAATGGGTTGAAACAGTAAATTCATTGGAATAAAATCAATATTTTGTATTTACTGTATATAGTGATATATTATTTGCAATGAGAACCAAATTAAAAATATAACAATACATTACATTTACTGTCTATTGAATTGGAATAAAAATGTCACTATGAAATATGCTCAAAAAATTGTTGTTTTTAATTTTAATTCCAATAAAATGTATGATTTTAAACTAAATTTTAAACCAGAAAACAACAGTCATGTGTAGTCTTTAGAATGCAATCATCAAAGTTAAAAGCTATAGCTATGCATGAGTCAAAATGAAAAAGAGTCTCGATTTGGTGTCTTCCAATATAAAAATTAACTTTACTCTTTTAAAATAAGAATGTATGGCAGACAGAATCTGGTCTTAGTTTGCGTATCTGCCCCACTCCACAGACCATTGCCTGCTATAAGCACGAGTACAGTCTATTCTTATTCTAAATAGAGTATGGTCTAACAAGCTTCTAAAAAAAAATGAAGCGAAGTTTTTTTTCATAATTTTTAGTTTCAAAACTTAAGCAACTTTATATCTGTATTGAAACACTTTATAATTTTAATGATTAAAATATGTTTGTTAAAAAATATATAAAATTAAAAAGTAACCTTTCGTTTTTCTTTATGATAACACACGTTAGGATAAAAGCCCATAGTTAAAATGGCAGATACTACATCTAATATTGGTTCATCATCCATTCCGGTTTTTCCAAAATCAAATCTTTGTCTTTCAAAACATATTTCAGGAAATCCAATTTTGATAAATAGATCTTTTAGTTGTTCCTGATAGAACAATTAATTTTGAGTATTATAAATACAGTTATTGTTTTAAATATTATAAATAACTTTAAATAGTATAAAAAAGGTACCATAACATCTGCTGTTGTAGTCAATGATGGTTGCGACAACATTTTACGTTCACAGAATTCTGTTGTATCAATTTTACGGTAGACCAAAGATTGCCATTGATGAAAAGCATTTAGTACAGTTAAATGATCAGAACAACGGTTACCAGAGAAAGCACGCTGTGCTGGTGTCATTCTATGATCTAAAACATACATAAATATTAAAAAACATTGATTTGAAACAAATTACCTTACGTATATAAAATTAATTACCAAATACAAATATATCTGTCATGTTTGAACAGATAGCTGCTATAATAGCCAAAGCGTCACCTAGCATTAAGATATTTCCTAATACCATCATGCGACCAATCTGTGGCTCGATAGGTAATTTTGCTAAAATACGACCAAGTGGCGTCAACTCTTCATTTGTTCCAAGACATTTCATCTCTAAAATATTTGAACATAAAAAATAGTATATTAATAGAACTATAAAAGAATATTTAGAAACATTTAAACAGTAGAACATTTTTGCATAAGTGTTTAAGTAATTAGAATTTAAAAGCAAAAATTTAAAAAAAATTCAGTCAAGCTTAAAATTCTTTACAAATATTAATAGAATTATTCTTAATAAAATAAGATTTTCACTAATGAATAAACATAAGAAAACACTCAATTTTTAATGAGGGCTATAAGTTACAATGTTAATCTAATAGTAGTTAATAACCATGTCGTTGATATTAAAGAATAAAATAAAAACATGGTGATATTTTAATTAATAAAAATTGCTGCTTACTATGATATTCAAATAAAACACAGTTCCTCAATATAAATTGTTATGTTTGCAAACCAAATTGAAGAAATACATTATTCAACTCAATGTAGATCTTCATAGTTTATTGGTTAAAAGTATATGTTTGAAACACAACTAACCAGTAAAAACATTATTTGTTTCACTGATTAATTTAGTTTGCATTTAAGAACCAATCATTTTATTTTTATTTTTTGAATATCATAGTAGCAGCATTTTACCTTTGAGCATCACTTGGGCTTCAATTACAGCGTCAATGGGAGGAGGTTCAATAGCCTTGCTAAGAAATTGTCCAATATCTCCAAGTCGTAACAATTTAATAGATAAAGCTATTTCATGTAATGGTGTACGGAAAATTTCTGGTGTTATGTGATCATCCATTTTATCATAACGTGCCTTTAAAATTTAATGTTAAAGTAAAAAATAAAAAACCATAAAAAGTAAACACAATGAAAGGTACCAGAACTCGTATGCTATTAAATGAATAAAATTAAGGATAAGCAATTAAAAATGATCATATGGCAAAATATAATTTTATGTATTCAGTCATTATAAATGATTTGCTTTGGTCATATTAAATACATTTATCTATAATTAATAATTTTCTTTTTTTTTTAAAATAAAATCTTTGATTACCTTTGAGCATAAGTGAAAACAGAAACCGTCTTTAACACGGCCAGCTCGGCCTTTTCTTTGCTGCATGTTTGTCTTAGACGCCCAAACCGTTGCATAATGAGTCATATTATTATGTGTAGTAAATAATTTTATCTTTGCTTTGCAATAATTAATTACAAATACTACATCATTAATAGTTATTGATGTTTCTGCTATATTTGTAGATAAAATTACCTGAAAAATATTTGATCTTTTAAAAATAATTGAGTACTTATAACTATAATTTTGATGTGGTTTGTTTTTAATGTTTCTATTGTTTAATCAGTGGCAAGTCTGGAAATGGAAATTTTTCAGATGGCCTGGACCATATTATGACCTGGTGGCCTGGTCATTTTGTTAGATTTTTTTTTTTTAATTTAATTTAATTTACAAAATATTAGTAAATGCTAAATACGTAAAAAATTTGTTTCTATTAAATTATTGTACTACAAATATTATTAATGCAATAATAGTACACAGCGATAGCCTCGTACAATCGTATGAGAAAGCTTTGGATATACAATTACAAAATATTTGGTACATAAATATAGACATCAAATAAAATCAAAGCAATTTATTGATATAAGTATTTTTATAATACAACATGGAAATAGATAATAATATTATCATAAATGCAGTTGTTGAGAAATCTAAGCTATTAGATTGTTTATAATTTATGTATTTATTTATTACTTATTACCTTATACCTACTATACCTACACTATTAAAACACAATATATAATTATTAAAACAGTGAACGCTGTTTATAAGACTCACGGATATAAGGTTCAGTCGCTTATTAGACTCAAAATCGTCTGAAATGGTCAGGAAGTATTCAAATACATTATGAAAAATTCGGTTTTAAAACTCAACACTTTGTTTATAATACTCAAATTTCATAAACAAAATGGTAAAAATAAACATTTTTGGTTAAAATTTAGAAATAAATTGGTTTTTATTTGCTTTATTATGTGTGTATGTACAACAAATTTTATTCCAATATACTTCCGGAATATTAGTTTAAAACTCAAAACAAACCAAAATTACAATTTTTTTTTTTTTAAATAATAAATAGGTAACATTATTCATACATCTTTTATAATTGTCTAATAATGTGTGTAATTATTTTTATATGTACTATAATTATAATTTTTTTAATTTATTCAATAATAAGTATGTAATAAGTAATATGTAGTCAAATGAAATTCATAAATATGTAATTAAATTTTTTTTTCCCACTTCGCCTAAGATTCATTCGTTTATAAGACTCACATTGTGCTGATCCCAAAGTGAGTCTTATAAGGAGCGTTCACTGTATTTTGTTGGTTTCAAATATTAAATTATACCTACAAATTTTATTTTTCAGACTTTCAGGTATTTGTGGTATATTAATTATAATGCATTGGAAGACAGAAGTTAAAAGAAATAGCAAAATAGTGATTGAAATACTTTTATAATACTGAAAGTAGTAATGAAATGAAAGCTACTTATACAATAATTTTGAAATAGGTAAATAGAAAAACGAAATTCGAGTAGGGAGAAAAAATTTTTTGGTGGGTAGCCTGGATAAATATCTAACTCCCAGCCTGGATTTGGTTCCCACTCCGCCCTTGGTTATAATATAAAACTTTAATATTGAAGCTGATGGTTGACAGTGAAGGTAAGGCATGATTGTTTTGATAAAAATTGTACAAAAATGTTTGATCCATTTTAAGTAAAATAAAATTTGACAGCTCTAACTATCCTATATATTGTATATATATATATATATATAATCATTTAGAAACATATTTAAAAATAACTATTTTGCTGGATCAACTTGATCATCATTTACAACATAATTCAGAATAGTTAACTAACCAACCCGTGTCCGGTAGTAATAATAGCATCCAATACGTATAAAAATTAACAGTAATCATATATTGGATTTATTTCTTAAAACGTTAAAAATGTAGTGCTTTTATTTAGATTTTGAATATTTTTTTTGCTTTATTTAAACTTAAAATGCTTTAATTAGTTCAATAACTATAACATTGATATGATAAATTTAAGTTATAGAATTTAGCCATAGAACAGAGTATATTTAGTTCTTACATGTATTTTCAGACTTTATAGGAATAATAATATACTTCATGAAAGAATTCATTTATTATTTTTTACTACGATGACAGTTAACTTAATATGAAACCAGTCATAACACAATCAAAATATAAAAATTTTAAACATTCAACATATTTTAGAATTTTTTTTTTTTTTACCTTTCTTACTCCAGATGGTACAGGTTCAAAAACTCTACGTTGATCTGCACACGGAAGTTGAGAATGGAGTGGTAGTATACAAAATTTTGAAGATGCTAAAAAAAGAAAATAAATAAGTATTCTATATTGTGAATATATATAATTTCACAAACCAAAAAATTGTTTCTGAGTCAAATATTTTTGGAGGGCAAAAATTAAATTCCAACCAGGTAAAAATATTAGAACTGCTCCAGGTGTATTCATCTTAACTTCAATGTGCATTAATAATGCCTAAGACATGAATTATATTTAACTATTATTATTAATGTTCTTGTTAGATCATATTTAAAAAAAATACTTGCTTCAATAATTTCAAAATCAACATCTTTTTCACTAATCAAGGCCATTTTAGCTTTGATTTCCGGGGGATAGTTATCAGATACAAGTAAATTACAATTTTCCTCATGATCCTGAGCAGCAATAACAGATTCTTCATCTTTATCTTTATTCTTACGTTTTTTGATATCTGGAGTTGGCTGATAATTTAAAATTTGAACAATATCTTCGAGAAAATATTCTGAAAAGAAATAGATTTAAATAATATTTTCAACCAATATAATTATTGACAAATTTACCTTTCACAGGATAGCATCTCCCTTCTACATCAATGACAGGACAACAATTAAAGTAATTAGAAAACATATCAGTATTAATCGTGGCAGACATAAAAATAACTCTTAGGTCAGGATAGTTATATATCATATCTTTAAGTACAACCATGAGGAAATCACTATTTACATCACGCTCGTGTATTTCATCAACAATTATATGTGATATGCCACGCATGCCATTTTCCAATTTACGCAATAACACACCTACGCAATTTTTTTTAATTATGGTTTAATACTTCAATACAAAAATGTTTAGAACAAAAAATATTTACCAACTGTACAAAACAAAATTGCCCCATACGGTCTCGGAAATATGCTATCAAATCTAACACTATATCCAACACTTAAACCTATATCTTCTTTTCTTTCAAAAGCCACTCTGTCAGCAACAGAGATGGCTGATATTTTTCTTGGTTGCGTACAAATTATATTGCAGTGTGCCCCTTGATCATTTTGCAAGAACTCATCAAGTATAAATTGACAAACCTAAAATAACAAATTATGTTTAAGTAAGAGTAAAATACATTAAAATAAATATTTTATGATTTTTTAAATCATAACTAACCTGAGTAGTTTTACCACAACCAGTACTCCCTTGAACAATAACAATTGAGTTTTTCCTTATTACATCTAATATTTCATATTTTTTAGCAAATACTGGAAGTTGACTACGCATTGCAATACTTTCGTTAAAACTTTCCGAGGAGTTTAATTTCATACTATAATCTTTAGCTAGTTCTTCACTAAGTTGATCTAAACTAGCCTGTAAATATCAATACGTATTTAAACAAAGTGATTAACATATATCCAAACTAGGTATATAATTATTTTTATTATATCTCGTTATTCATGGATATTATTATTTATCAATTATCATTACTCTTTGCAGGCTATGTCATCAACCTACTTAATACAAACTTCAGTTTTTCAAATGAGAATCCCTTTTATTACTGTTATCGATTAAGAATATTATTTTTTTGAATGTGTTGATGTACCTAATTGAAAAATCAACAACCAAGTAATTTTTCAGTTATTAAAATGTTTAAATTAAGGAAAAGGGATAAAAGTCCCAAAAAATGGTTTGCAAAAATATAAAATAAATTTAATATTGTATCTAGCGTTTTTTATACTTGAATGATTTTTACAAAATTAAAATGTTAATAGATTAAAAAAAAGATAAACCTAACCTATATTATCTTCCAAACCCATTATCCTTGGCATACAAAATTAAATACTATATAATACTAACTTAAAAACTATTAGATCAAATTTTAATATTGATACTTACAAAATTTTCAAACAAAATGGGCTAAATAGCTTAAAGTAGAAAAAGAAAATTCTCAATTGAAAAACTAAAGTTTGTACTTTTACAGAACACTCCTTAAGTATTACAAAAACTCAGAGAAATTAAAAATATGGCCTTTAAGTATATTTTAAAATTTCAAGAATAACTGTGCTATTGAAGAAAAAGAAGTTGAGCATGCTTGGTGAATCACTCTGCATACTAGAAATGAATATAATTATACTATGCAACTCATGATAATTTTTTTAACTAAATGTATGAGAAATGCAGTTTTAATTTTTAACTTCAAACTTACAGTAGCTAAAGGGCCTTCATCAATATTTATGGCCAACCAAGGGTTCCAATTTGGTTGAGGCGGTGACCATGGAATCACTCCTGTTAATCTAACCGGTTTTGACTCATTAAATTCCGCAAGCACTTGATTAGAAATTAATGAAATTGTGGTTTCTGGTTCAATAACAGTATCATTCTTCGAACAATAAATATACGCTTATAATAATTATTAATTATTGTCTTAACTTTATAATTTACCTTAATTACAGGTTCAATATTAAACTCTTGCAATATATCATATACTTTGTTTAATATCAAAGGATCAACATTAACTTCATATGGTTCTACTATGTTTAAAATAGTTTTTTTTAAAGATCCTGAGAATGGTTCAATAACACCTAAATGGTATAGTTGACGGATCAAAGATAATGCACAACTTTTGGATGCTGATTGTTTGTTTGAACCACTTTCATGAGCAGTTACATCTAAATCAAATAATTACAATTGTGTACTAAGCTATAGAAAGAAAGTTTATTATATCTTTAAGCAATAATTTACTTCTTCCAAGTTTTGCTACATATATTGACATTTCAGCTACAAAACTCCTAAAAAATATAAAAATATATTAGTTTGCTTACTTGAATCTTAAAATTATCTTTAATTCTTAATCTTTAATTCTTTAAAATAATACACAGCCGTCAAATAAGTAACTGCTCTGCTATACAGTAGATAAACTAAACATAGTATATACTAAACAAAATTATTAAACTAGATTAAAGGGTGGATATTTCTATTTTTAATAAAAAGGAAAAACTGTAAGAGCCTATCACAAAGAGAAAAAAAGAAGTTCATAAATGGGATTTTGGAGGAAGCCAAAAAGGATTGCTTGTAAGAAAGAATTAGAAACTTCTTCAAGACAATTGGACAGCATAAAGATTTTAACACAACCCTGAAGACAATAAAGGGTAGAAATGGAGTTATTCTTATGGATCCCAGTGATTAAGTTAAAAGATGGAAGGAATACTTCATAGATTTGCTTAATACGGAAATACCATTGAACCCAATAGGAAACGCATATTACCAGACAGCAAGACCAATGATTGGCGATATAACCCTGGAGGGAGACAAGATCGCTATTAAGAGCCTAAAAAACTGGAAGACGTCAGGATCTGATGATATATCAAATACAGTAAAGACGAACAAATGCCTGAAAACAGGAAGAAAGAATTTTAAGAAGAACATTTCACTTTTTTGGTGAATGGGGATAATTAATATTATCCCCATTCACCAAAGGTAATTAAAACAGAGTGTGGAAATTACAGAGGAATATTGCTCTTGAATTCAGCATACAAAGTATTTTCTAAAGTACTACTCAACCGCATAATTCCTTACACAGAAAAAAACCTGAATGAATATCACTGTGGTTTTAGAAAGAGGAGATCAACTATTAAACAAATTGCAGTCATAAGTCAGATCATAGAAAAGAAATATGAATTCTGACAAAACCTCTGGCAAATATTTATAAACTTTAAAAGGCCTACAATAGCATCCATTGATAGACTATAAAACATAATGAATACATTTGGAGTACCCAAAAAACTAAAAGGACTAATCAAGATGCGCATGGAGAAACACAGTATCAAATCAGGGTAGATAGAGATAGCAGGGAAGCAACGGGTATAGAAATAAGCCAGTGAAAGATACAAAAATTCTGGGTTTTGCTGATAATCTCAAAATCGTAGGCAATACCAAATATGATACAGAGAAAGCAGAGAAAGTCCTAGAAAAATAAGCCAATAAAATAAGACTAAAAATAAAAGTCAGAAAAGACAAGGAGAATAGAGCTATTATACATGGACACAGGCATAACTAACCCTGATGAATGAATATACGATAAAATTAATAAGTTTAAATACCTTGATGTAAATATAAATACAAAAAATGACTGGTCACAAGAGATTGGAATTAGGATAGTAAAAGCGTCTCTTGAACTATCAAAATTTTTCAAATCAAAAATTCTGTCAAAAAAACAAAAGTTAAACTCTACACAATGATAGTGAGAGCTATATTAATACATGGATGAGAAGCACGGGGACAACTACAAAAATCACAGAACAAAAATTTACTACTTTTGAAAACAAGATATGGCAAATGATATGTGGATCAAAATTAGATATGAACACTGGTAAGTGGAGGAGAAAGTATAACAAAGGCCTGATGAAGGAAACAGAAATGACTCCAATTTAATATTACATAAGGGTTCAGAGAATCCAGTAGTTTGGGCACATAATGTGGGAAAATGACGATAACATAATCAATGAAGTTATGTCTTGGAAACCAACAGGGAAAAGACCACAAGGGAAAAAAGGAAAAAAAGGATGGACGTGATCGTCAGTTTTATTTATATAAAGAACATTAGTACGAATTATAGGAGATATAATAATATTACTTACTTTCCCATAAAACTATATTTGTAATCAATGTTTTTTAACTTATTAGATTGAATAAATTGATTTAAACGTGATTTGGCATTATCAATTGTCCAATTACCATGTACAGCAGCATTCACATCTAAATTTTCTGCCTATTAATAAAGTTAAAAATTTAAAAATAGTAACAAATAGTTATAAATAAAAATAAAAAGGATTTTACCTCTTCAACTTTACTTTCTTCATTTAAAAAATCTTTAAACTGAAAATCTGTCTTCCCAATTGGTCGATAAGCTTCACCGAGCATATTGGGAGTTTGGCCTTGTTGATATACAGATTTTGGTGGCTCATTATTCATTAATCTTCCTGGTGCTTTAACCATTGAATCATTTGAAGCAGGACCAGAAATAAAATTCTAATAAAACCCATACTTAGTATAATAATAATAAATTTAACATACTAGATTAATGAACTTACAGGTGGTAATGAGTCAGCAGATACCAATCCTTGCCTTGTCAAGTATAAGAGATAGTCTTTTGATGCATTTCCTTGAGCATCTTTTTTACTAGTCGAATTTCCTACACCAACATAATTATGTCCACTTACGGTAACTTCACATATAAACCGTATATTAAATTTTGTACCTAGAATAAAATATTCAGAATTTCTATAATTTGTTATATGTGATAATATAATATGTGATGATTGTTAATTTATTTTTTGGTTGTCATACTCTTGTAAAATCACAAAGGGGAAGTTACAAAAATCATTTCACCCATCTACAAAAAATGTTTGCAAAACATTATAATTATATTCTTTACTCAATAGCAAACAGAAAAATCATTATATAAGATTAAACACTTTTCTACTGGAGATTCATAAAATTTTACCGGCTTGCTTGATTTCAAATTGAGGTTCCAAGTTATTTTTTGCACACCATTCGTGTAGAAAAGCTTTTGGATTAGCCATTCTGAATTATTTGAATGTGTCAAGTCTATTACTTTAAGTAATTGTGACTTTTAATACCGTAACAGACCAAATACTTTCCAAACAACAAATTCACATTAATAGTACGTGTTAATGTGTTATGTTTTTAAAAAATAAATAACATTTTTTTTAATCTTATTTTAAGTTGTATTATTATTGTTACCAGGGATATGATAATAGAATGATAGTGAATGGTGATAATACATTATTGTTGTTACCAAGACCTGGACCATGGTAAAATTTGAAACCTCAGTCTGGGTAGTGGTCTTCACAGGGGCTCACAATTTGTACTTTCAAATCACGATGTAGGTAAAAAAAAGTATGTTTTACCTACATCGTGTTTCAAATAATTAGCAAGTGTAATTTTAAATTTCCCGCCATATTTAAGTGTTAGCTTTGGAAACCTTGACGAAAAATTGTTAACTGGCGCTTTAGACACTATATTTGTTCAGTGTTGTGAAACGCAGACACTCAGTCGTACTCACTATAGTAGGTAAATGGGATAATATTATAGATCTGGATAATCTTCAGAGTATAACATAAATCATAATCATGAACCATTAAACTAGATAATAATATAGTTATTGTATAGTTCAATGTCATGAACTAAGATTTCTTCATATTTCATAAGATAAATACCAACTATAGATCAGTTTGGAGAACCTATATATTGTATTAAAGCTCTCTAGATCAGTGGTTTCAAACTCGAATTACCAATACGGGCCAAATATTTATACACAGATACTATGTATTTATACGTCAAAGGTTCAAGAGCTGAAGAGCATAACACCTTTCCTATTATCTTAATACCCTTAAATAAAAAATAAACAAAATTATTGAAGACAAAATGTAATTCTTCTGTTGATTATAATAATTATTATAAATTAACTGTATGTTTTAATACCTGCAGGTATTACAAAGATGTACATATTGATTTTTTGTTGCTTAAAATATTTTCAACATTTTGAAGATAAAAATGTGAGGTTCGATGAAAGCTTGAAAGCACATCTTAAACCGTGCTTGAAAGCCGAAAACGTCTCTCAGGAAGATCACCATTTAAAAAAAATAATGATACTGGGTTCCTTTTAATATTATTAGCGCTGAATCTAGTGGTGAGTACTGTTGTAAGATGCCTGCAGCTCCTAACGGAAAACTCTTTGGTACAATACATAACTGATCGACAGCAATACTTGGCTAATATTATAGGCATTCACAATCGTATATAATCTAATACACTGGCCCACTCAGTGGCTGCGATTGTAAACGTTGCTTATATCTCACTCATAGATCTATCTTAGTCAGTAGTCTGTGATCTAACTTTATGACATAATATATCTTAAATCATGCGTCGTTATAATCTAGATGGCTAAAAATAAAAACAACATAATAAATATAAAAACCACTAGATAGCGCTTCAACTAAACTTTTTAAATTATTTATTATATTAATTGTTGGATATTTGGATATTTATAAATCAAAAATTATAATATTATTATAGTAGGTATGCCATAATGCCATACAATGATACAACGTTAATCTTAATTATACCTATTAATATAAATATTGTAATTATTAAGTATATATTTGTACTAAACTGTATCTAAATAACAATTACCTAACTGTTAATTAAGGATTTAACACAACGATTGCCGAGTATAATATAACAACGATATTATTTAGTAAGGTAGGTAGTAGACTAAAATAAAACTTTTAAAAACCAAAAATTAAAATCATCAAGATTTTAAAAATCTAATACAAATAGACACATAAATTTATTATTTTATATATATACCTAATTAGGTATTAGGTACTGTAATACTGTATTTGTATACACACTAAACACATATTAATATATTATTATTATAAGTTATAACTTATTTAATAGGTTAAAAATGAAAAAAATACCATAAATGTATATGTGTCATGATGTGGTCAATGACCAATGTAACACGCGTTCCATAAAGATGTATTATTTTTATTTAATCACTAATTAAACACTATTAATTGTTAAACCAACTACTTTATAGGTATATAAGTACCCATAACCATATTAACATTACAATTTTAAAAAAATTTAGTTAATTTAGTACTTTAAAAAAAATCATAAGTACCAAAATTATTTAGAAATGTACTTGAGCTTGAAGGACTTATTAAATAGAAAAAAAATTGCACTTACTATTATATAGGTACTAACTTGCCTGTTTTAATACCAAGTGTGTAATTTTATTTTAATGTTATGTTAGAAACGGAAAGTAATAAGTGGAATTATGTAGATACTCTTTTGTCGATCATTGAAACACACAATATTATGCTTTAGATTAGACGTCATGTTAATTACGATAAAAAAATAAGCTATGTTACATTGCTACTAAGTACTAACAAATAAGAATTTAATTTTGTAATAATAATATATACCTTAATACTTAAAATCCTAAATTATAACAATATACCTTCTAATAAATTAAATTGGATTTTGATTCACAAATCACAAATAAATTAATTTCACCTGAAGGTATAATATTATATATTTATATCAATAATTTAAAATTATAATTAACTACAAATACCCCAATGCCAATCGGCTACATTTGTTCATATTATTATTGTTTTTATTAATCTAAATCACTTAATAATCTTTCCATTTTAAATAGTCAATCGCCAATCATCGTGTGTAAGTTGTAGTGAATTGTGAATCAGTAATATATGATTCATGTTTATTATACGAATACAAACGAAGAAATGCGCTTATTTCATGTTGTTACTTATTTATCTACGTATTAAAATGTTAATAGTTTCACGCGGTCAACGGTAAATTTAAGCGTTATGAATGTAAGATAACAATATTATAATGATAAATGACTGTTATCGCCGATTCAAATTGTATGACTTATGAATCTATAAATCTGTATGATATTGAGTAATGGGCGTTATAGTTTATTAGCTGAATATTTTAACTACAGGCTACAACCTAATACCTATACTAATATAGTATTATAGTAAATTAGTAACTAGTAAGTATTGATATTGGTAAGTATTTCGTATTTAGTTAACAGGTTAAACTCTGTGTGATATATATATAACATTATATATGACTATACCTAATACTTACCCACGTGACTAGTACTTCCGAATTACAACGAAAATGGTCTTAGGTACATCGAAATTATAATTAATTAAAAAACAGGTGTCTTTGCCAGAAAAATGTATTTTTTAATGCAAAATAGATGATTTCTAACTCAAAATAACACTTAACTTTTCATGATTTTTATGATTTTTGTTAAAATTCTAAATTAAAACGCTTATAGAAATATATTGAGACTATGTTTTTCAATATTGTTTACACTATATATGAACAATTTAATAGCAACCTTGTATTTCATTTTCCAACTTTCTGTCCAATCGAAAATATCGATGTATAATGTAGAAAAAGTAACATAAAATCGAAAATGTTATAACATGTATAAAATAGCTCCAAAAGCTTAAAAAATAGTCCACATTTTCAAGTTTCTACTGTTATTTGTTTTTGAGTTACCTATAACCTACACCAAAAAAACAATATCGATTTTATCAAAAACTGGTCTTGTGTAAAAATTCCTATTTTCCCTTAATATTTTATCTTTTTACCGACTATTATTAAAAAAGGTATACTTCAATTATTACCTCTCAAAAGTACTAATTGGCTCTAAAAAGAAACTAAAATGATTTTATTTATTATGTTCTGATGTGAAACACAATTATGATAAATAGTAACAAAAGTGATAATAATATGTTAGTAGGTATTATTGTCATTCACCACGTCAAGTTCAATACGAATTATGATAAGCTACCGGTTTAATTGAACAAAATGTACAACAATAATTTTGAGGGGGCTAATATTTCATCATAATCCCTTCCAAAATCCCCCTTGAAGATACACACATGACATATGTATAATGTATTATACAAACACGGGTCATAAAAAAGATGTACTTGGCCCGGGAATGGGTAAACATACATTATAAAATACATAGGTATAGCAAAGTGCCAAAGTACCTTTATAATATTTATAGAACTGTGGAAGTCGGAAAATAATGTATGAAATATGAAATCGTCGTCGAATTACATAATATTCACCAAGCGTGCAGGTGGTCTGAAATCTGAATGGCTGAATTTCGGTTTTCGTTAATCATATCAGCCACCCACCGTAATTTTTTTCAATCGTATATTATACATTAATTTGTCTGTCTTACTTCTCGTTTTCGTGAGAATTTGATATTGTCAAAATTATCGATGCAATAATTATGAATTATGATAAATTATGACTATGTCTTATATTAAATATTAACTACAATAATAAATTAGAAGTCGGAATTGTATATTTGTATGGTTTTCCTTTTATATTGTCATTATGTATCTTACCCAATATTTAATTATAGTCAGAATAATAGTAAAAGGCAAAAAAGTCCGAAAATAATATAATGTTTAGTAAATATGTTGACGATTATTTGCACAACAGAATATCATGTGATGTTACTGTGGTTAGGGTGTCTGATGAGTGGTGGTGACCATATCGAATATTTATAGAGATGTGTTCTACACTTATTCATGCCAAAAAAACTCTCGATTCTCTTGTTTACTGTGGTTGGTAAACGGTTCTTGTAAGTTAGGCATTTTTTTAAATAAATATTATTCTTGTATTTATATTGTAATATATATAACATAACAAATACAAATACCATATCCTATGTCCATAATCCATATATACGAACAATTCCACTTCTGGGTGCTATAGTGATTGTGTCCGTTGGGGGTGAGGGCCAAAAAAAAATATATATGCTTCAATGCTCTCTCTGAAAAAATAATTAAAGTTCCTCTCGATTTCGGCGATTGCGGCACTTACTATATAATGTAATATTCTATAATATGAAAATTTGACGATATAATAATATCTATGTTTATGTACAATATGTGTAATATAAATGTATGCGCCGCCGTGTGTATAC